CAAATAAATAAATAAAATCTTAAAAAAAAAAAAATGCCTTAAAGCCACCTTCCTTTTTCTATCCACTCAGGGTAGAATTGGTAGACCTTTTCTTCCAGGGAGATACCTCCCTGTGAAACCTCTAGAAAATGCATTCTTTCAAAGCCTCCAGGCTTGGGACTTTATCTTTTCCCTCATCCCATGTTCTTTGTAAGGCAGGTACCATTTCCATTATAAACACTCTCCATTTCCTTCCCTCTCTGCTTGAATCTACCACCTCCAAGTTCATGAAGGATGCTCTGACTATGCCATGGTGCCCTACCAGGGGTAACCGTATTGCTTGGCCCAGATGATGGATCCTGGGATGTAGGAGGCATAGGCCACATCACTCTCACGCCCTGTCCAGGACTCCTCAGGGATGTCACAGCGATTATACCTCAAGTCTGGCAAAAGAGAGAAGGAATGAAGGGAAGGAAAGAACCCCATCAGAGAAAAATCTGGATAAGGGCAGGAGAGAGGACAAGAATACGCAGCAGGTGGGACCAAAAGGGCACCTGGGAGACAGGCATGGAGGAAGAACAAAGACCCGTGGAGGATATGCAGCTACAGGTAGAGGAGGAGTGCTGCCTCCTTGTACTTTACAGAGATTCCAAACTTCGGCCTATATCCCACATTATCTGACACTGCTTCCATCTATATAACATCATGACAGTCATTTTTCTGAGACTCTGTTATCTCAGCTGTGAAAATAATTGGGCTGGGCTTAGATCATCATAATCTCTTTCAAGTGGTTTCAAACATTCTAGAATTCTAAGCTACTGGCTCTCTCTCACCTACTTTCCCCCCATATATCCCATATCCCTTCTTATCCACCAACCCAATACCAACAATCTAGCCAGGACTAACCGGGTCAGACTAATGCTGAAGAAGGGGGAATTCACTCAGAATCTACATTTAGATCCCAGGCCCTTCCCACAACATAACTCTTCAGGGTGTCTTCTTCTAGCCCATTATGCCAGATTCATCTTGATATGACAGGATGATCCCTTCCTCTCTCCCAAACACTACAAGGACCCCTGGAATTATAACTACATCTATGACGTATTTAATCTAAGGGATACATACAGAGAAAGAAAGGGAAGAACCATTAAAAACTAAAAAACAAAAAAAACACAAAAAACAAAAAAGAAACCCAACCATCTCCAGTCCTATCTACCTGTATTCTGATCACAGGACCAATTATCAGGAAGCACTGAGGGGTCAATGTTCCCACAAAGCCGCCTCCACTTCTCACAGTTTGGGGAGGAACACTGGACCCAGACGAGGCATTGACCTGCAAGAAGAAAAAAAAAAACTGAAATGAAACAAAAATATGCCCTTCCTTCTTCAGTCCAACTAAAATCAATGTACTCCCTTCAAAATCACACAGCCTTAGGGATCAACTAGTCTAATCCTAGATTGATAAATGGGAAAACTAAGCTCAGAGAAGATAATTGACTTGCTGAAGATCAGTCTAAATTGGTGGCAGAGCTAAACTCGGGCCCCAGGTCTCACATATCAATCTTTCTCCTATGCCATACTATTTTTTTTTTAAGATTTTATTTATTTATTTGAGAGAGAATGAGACAGAGAGAGCATGAGAGGGTCAGAGGGAGAAGCAGACTCCCCGCCGAGCAGGGAGCCCGATGTGGGACTCGATCCCGGGACTCCAGGACCATGACCTGAGCCGAAGGCAGTCGCTTAACCAACTGAGCCACCCAGGCGCCCTCCTATGCCATACTATTAATCTCTCCTTCCCCCAAGGAGAAAAGGAGTGTTTCCTGTATTGACAGTTCTTGAAAAGTTTGGCCAGCATCTTTCCAGCTAGTGCCTCGTTCTCTGCTGGCCTGTCACTACTGGAAAGTTCTTTTGAAGAGCTAACCAGCATCTCTTTTGTGTACAACATCCAGAGTTCCTGAGTCCCAGCTGATTTACCTGTCACCAAATCACCAAGTTGCAGTGTTTGGGACCAACAGCCCTGAGTTTAATCCCTTCCAAAAGACAGAGATAAGCCTACCAACTCAACCAACTATTTACTTCAGGCCTTGCTCAAAGGCCAAGCATTCCTTTTATCCGTTACCTTCCAAACCCTTATCCCCACCTTTCTTTATCCCAACATCTGCTAAGTTGACCCAATGCCCCTCACAGGCTCTCCTCTCTCTGCCCCAAACCCTTCCACTATGTTCTTTAGAATTCTAGAAAAGAGCAACAAAAAATCCACATACCTTCAACTTCTCTGAACATCCATCTCCTTTTCGAAACCTGGTGATGCACTAATGACAATGCCCCTACCCGACCCCACCCCACCCACAGCCCTCTAAGCGGAGTCTGTTCCCTCTCTCACACCCCAGGCCAGAAAGTGGGGTCAGCATCATCCTTACTCATCACCACTTCCAGACCATTACTATCCTCCTTCCTATAAAAACCCTTCCTGGGGCACCTGGGTGGCTCAGTTGGTTAAGCATCTGCCTTCAGCTTGGGTCATGATCTTGGGGTCTTGGGATCAAGTCCCGCATCAGGCTCCCCGCTCAGACAGGAGTCTGCTTCTCCCTCTGCCCCTCTCCCTGCTCGTGTGCTCTCTCTCTCTAATAAATAAATAAAATCTTTTTTTTTTAAAGATTTTATTTATTTATTTGACACAGAGAGAGATAGCGAGAGCA